CCCACCTACCTGAAGCACGAACCCTTGCACAGAGCTGTGCGGAGGGAGGGGGCTGGGGTGGGCGCCCCCTCCCCCTCCCCCCAGCCCAGACACAGCTGCGCGTAGCTGCCCCTCTGAGCCGGCTCCCCCCGGCTCCCTCCAGCCCCGCTGCGGCCCCCACGCCCTGGCCTCTTTCAAGGGGGCTTGCGCAGAAGCCGCCCCAGCGAGGGGTGCAGCCCTCCCCCAGGAGCCGGCTCCAGAGGTGGCCATCCAAGGGGCCAGAGCCCGGGGCCTCGGGCCAGCCTGCCCTCTGTGGGGCCCCATTTCCCGCCTGCAGGGTCCTGTCCTGTGGCCTGCAAGGCCTCAGCGCTGCGGCCCCATGCGAGCGGTGGAGAGCGCCGGCACCCCCTCTCCACCCCCCACCCCTCTGGAGCCCCGAGGCCACATGTGGGGGTCTGAGGACCCTGGAGGAAGAGGCCCGCCTGGGCGGCACCCCAGGCCACAGAGCGGGTCCGTGGGCAGCGCTGGCCTTCCTCTGCAGGGCTCGTCCTGCCCCACGCATCTCGGGGAAACCGAGGCCCAGAGCAAGCTGCCCACGGACCGGCTCCTGACTGGGGGGCCCGTGGATCTGGGCCTTGGGTGTCTGGGGCCAGAGCCTGCCTTGGGAGGGCCAGGGGGAGCCAGGCCTCCCCGGGGTGCAGGGCGCGGCCCCCTAGCACACACGGCTGGGACCGCGGCTTCCCTGGGGTCCACACATCCCGGGAAGGCACCAGGCCACGTGGGGGCCTCTGCTGACCCACAGACCCACGAAGCAGGGGCCTGGGACTGGTGGGGGCACTCCACAGCTGCCGGGGAGACCCCAGAAGGATGAGGAATGGGGCGTGCTGGCCAGGGGAGTCGGCAGAGGGTCTTGGGACCCTGGGGGAGCTCCCCTGGCGTCAGGGCCGCACTGGCCACTGCTTGGTACTGGACCGGCATATAGTAGTCATCACTCAATACAAAAGCGGGTTTTGGGGTGGACCCACTGGGCCTCTCTTCCCTGTCGTCTCCTGGGGGCCCCTGTACCTTCCCGGGCCTGACGGGCTGGGCCAAAGACCCAGTGTTTTCTGGGGAGCTTTGGGTTACAGAAGCTGAGGCTGGGGTTGGACAGAGAAGTGTGGACAGTCGGGGCATCTGCACGGCGGGCCGGTTTCGGTCCCCGGGGCTCCAGCAAGCCGAGAGGGTGCTTGCCGCCAGCCCAGCTGCCTCACAGGGGAGGCGGCGAGATTCCCAATGAGGCCCTGGTCCTCGCCGGCTGCACGCGGGCCTCTCTCGGGCCTGGGCGCTGGGGAGGCCCCTGCTCTGGGGCACGTGAGGCGCCTGCCCTCACACACAGACACTCACAGACACAGACACAGACACAGACAGACACACACGGACACACAGACACACAGACACACAGACACAGACACACACAGACACACAGACACAGACACTGACAGACACTGACACACACAGACACACACAGACACTGACACACACACAGACAGACACACACAGACAC